CCATGTGATTTGGCTCTCTTGTTGCATTCTTCATGCTTTTCTTGCTTCACTCTCTTCTCTAGCCACCCATTTATAATCATAAGCATATATAACTTTTGGAAATGTATACGGATATCTCTTCTCCAAGGGACTAGATGCATTCCCATCCCATTCCCAATTAATCCTGGTAATGTATTCACTAGCCCAATGTTGGCAGCAATAAGCTTTTTCATCAAAAACAAAATCATTCCCATTTAGATTCCTGAGTCCTAAATATTTGCTTTCCACACTTGACCCTATTTATTCTATAGATTCTAAAAGCTGCTTCATGTGCTGTGCTACGGACTCCTTTTTGCTCATCTCCTATGATTTCAATCAAGGAGACAGCGGCAGCTTCTTAGTCTTATCCTCCAAAGGAAGAGGGAATGTACATTATTTCCATTTCTTCACCTTGTCAGGTTTCCCACTCACCTGTCCTTGCTGAGGTGCCTCCTGCCATCAATGCCTACAATGAAGGGAGAACTGGGGACAAACCAACTACTCTGTGGCATGCTGTGGAAAGATCATGAAGCTTTGCCTGATATGTTCTTCTAAACTGTTCAAATTGTCCATACGTACAGTATCTTAAGAGTCTCCCTCCTGCAGTAGTGGCTAAAATCTATTTTGGGTTGAGTCAGACTCTTGGTAACATCATGAATATATCTACGTAGTTCTCTTGGCAACCAAACAAATACAGCTTCCACATTGCCGCCTTCCTGGGTTTTTTAAACACTTCCCAATTGAGCCTACCTGCCCGGATTTCCTAATGGACTTAAGTATTGATGGCAATGCTGACTAATGAAAGAAAATAATTATTTTTTTGCTGATGCTATGTTGGAATAGTTCTATGATTAAGGATATGGAGGGGATTTTCCAAATGAAAAAAAAAGAAAGATCCTGATCAGATAGCCCTCTGATATAAATATTATTTCTATGTCAAAATGACATGTCAGGCATGTGGATTTTAGCTTTTTCCCTGTCAAATCTCTACCCATAGATTCTTGTTTCTAGGGTTGGTGGGGGTGGGAATCTTATGGATGTGAGTTATCACCTGGGCACAAAAATACCATCTCCTTGAGAGTTAAGCCATTTTTTAAAAAAATGTGCCTCTCCTCAGCATTGCTGCTCCAAGGTGCTCTTGTACCAGCTGCTTTGACCAAGGGCAAATCAAGGACACATTTCCCCCCACCCCCTTAACAATTATTTCCTTTTCTACATTCCCTTGGCTCACAGTGTGGAGGAAAATTCAGCATAAAGATCCCAAACATCTATAAGAACACATAAATCAGTGAAGATTCACCTCTCAGGAATCTACTGCAGGTCCCTTTGCTTCTTATGGTGTCAAAGGGTTCAGCCACATATGTACTGTAGGCTGATTTTTGGAGTGGGGGAAAGGCACAATCATAGTGCCCTTCATTGCTTTGATTTTGTCCTCTCCTCTTGGATGCCAAGGCTCCAAAGTGTTTCAGACTGTCTAATACTCTTGATCATTGTAACTTAGGAGCTGACTGTCCTGGACCTTGCCTTCCTCAGCATGCCTGCCTTTTGAACCCCTGGCTCTCCCCCTCTTGTACCTCCTTTTAAAAGTTTTTTTAAAAAAATCACCAACACTTGCTGTTCTCCTTCCTCGCAGAGATAGAGTCCATTTGGGGGAAGTTCCTGGAATTAGGGTGCTGCCTACACTCTTGTAAGAAGGTGTTCCCCTTTCCTTTGCTGACGTCTACCTCTGTGCTTGAAACTTATTGCATCTGGAGAGGGGCCTGAATGTCCATCTCTCTTGATTAACAGCTTAATCACCGGTGATAACAGGGTCTCTTAACAACCTTCAACTGAGGCTTTCATGTCTCTTGGGTTAAGCCTTGTATGATTTCAATAAATTGGTGCTCTGTTTTCAGGACAGCCTTCATTCAGGTCTATTAAGTTCTACTTGCTGAATGTCCATTAGAGGCAGGCCAAATAAAATTGGGATTAGCCTTTTTGTACCTGATAATTCATGAGTGTGACATAGCTTCCTCATACGTTCAAACTAATTCGATAAGGGATTAAATGTGATAGGTGAAGATCACTAGTTGAGAATTTGGATGTCTTGGCAAGAGTCCTAACATTTCATAATGCAGTCAGGCTTCAACAGGGCTAGATTTAAAAAAAACAACCTCTAAATTTGGATGAGGCTCCAAAGTGGATTTAGAGTAACCTGTTTTCAGCCACCCATGTTGTTAAAACTTTACTTGCAGAGTAGAAGCTCAGAAATGGTGGTATGTTCAGTGATTGGCAAGTAAGAAAATATCCACCTACTCACTTTTGGTTAATACCTACTTTTTCGGAGAAACAAATTATTGGACATAATATGGAAGAAATGTAAAGTTACATCTTTTTCCCTATAAACTGGCTAGATCAAGACGACTATTCCACAAAAGATGTAAAATGTACATGATGGCATGTGGGGGAAGCACTGCTTTCTCCCCAATTCTTTGCCATTAAGTTATTAATTATGAAAAAAAATGAATAAATGACCTGAGCCTCCAATTTAAGTTTTAAAACTACATTTTACTTTTTTCCTCTATCATTTATGAATAAAGGTCTCCGTTGGGTGCTTCATTATATAATTCTATACAACTCTTCTTGGGATGTTTGCTAAGCCTGTTATTACAGGACTGAAAATTGTTTAACTTTTTCACTAATGCTTTATTCTGGTCCCAAAGCAGAGCTTTTGAAGAATAGTGGTGTAAAATTTGGGCCAGAGGCCTTCCTTTTAGTATTTCCTTTCTATTTGTCTGGACAATCTTGGTGCTGTGATTGTGATTGTGAAGCTTAAGTACTGTGCACTCTTCTCCCTGCCCTTTCCTGAACCCTGTGATATTTTAAATGGGGATGCTAGTTGCCTACTAAAGAAATACCAAGTTCTATTTGCTCCCCCAAATATCATTAGAATACATGCAGTTGTTCCTTTTTGAAGCAGTTGGACTAATCTTTTGTAGCATCAATCACTTCATATTTCATAGCATAGAATAATTATTACACCTTGGCCCATATGTACATTTTAAAATGATACACACATATTAACTGAAATAACAATGACTGCAAGTTGTTATGCAGTTGGATTAGTTTAAGTAGGCATAATTGAAATGATAGCTGACTGCAAACTAGCACACAAATTTGAACTACAACTACTTGTAGGAAGCTATGTCCCACACCCTAAGTTTTAAGTAGAAAACTTCCAGTATATGATAAAGGCAGATAAACAAGCAACAATACCATGGAAAATAAAACAGTTATATAGCCTAGGAAACTTAGCATCCCCATACACTTAACAGATTATTTAAAAAAAATAAAGATTTTGTTCTTAAAATAAAAAGAATGGATTTTTGGCTGATATCTGGTTAAATATTTGCAATTCAGGCATGAAAAAAATGTAACATCCTCCCAATTTTAAACTAGCAAAAATCTCAGAATTCAGGCAATTCCAATTCTTGTATCAAAATACAATATGGAGATAAGATGCTGACATAGTTGGCAGTTGGCTGGATAGTTATTGGCTCTATTGTTCTCCTTTTTGCTGGGAGATTTAAAAACACCTCTTATGCTCTGGATACTTATCAAAACATGCATTGGAAATTTTTAGTTCTTCAAAACTAGAATTGTCTTTACTATCCACCTACCATGACTTTGGGCCATGAGAAACCATATGCAATACTTCTACATTTTGACAAGATAAAATGTTTGCTTTATGGCATATAAGATAACATAGGTACCTCAAGCACTTCACGTAGACCTAGCTATTTCACTGCAATGGATGCCTACTAGTCAAAGTCAATCATTTTTCAATGGTGCAAATCTTAATCAGAGTTTGTGCTAATCTCCACTGCAGTCAGTAGAGGTTAAAGTTTCACTTGAATCATGACCTTAGATTGAAGGCCACAAAAGAGCTTCAAGTTCTTACGTTATTATATAGCTACAGAAAGGTACTGAGGACGGATGCATTTAGAAAACTCAAGAGATACGTAAGTTTAGCTGTTGTAACAGATAAACAAGATATTTACAATATTCCACTGGCTGTTTCAGATTTTAACTATGTATAATTACAGCTATGGCAAATCTAGACAGCATACTAAAAAGCAGAGACCTCACCCTGCCAACAAAAGTGTGCATAGTCAAGGATATGGTTTTCCCAGTTGCAATGTATGGCTGTGAAAGTTGGACCATAAGAAAGGCTGAATGGAGGCTTTTGAATTATGGTGCTGTAGAAGACGCCTGAGAGTCCCTTGGATTGCAAGGCAATCAAACTGGTCAGTCCTAGAGATCAATTTGACTGCTCTTTAGAAGGCCAGATCCTGAAGATGAAACTCAAGTACTTTAGCCACCTAATGAGAAGGAAGGACTCACTGGAGAAGAGCCTCATGCTGGGAAAGATTGAGGGCAAAAGAAGAAGGGGACGACAGAGATTGAGGTGGCTGGATGGAGTCACCGAAGCAGTTGGCGTGAGCTGAAATGGACTCCAGAGGATGGTAGAGGACAGGAAGGCCTGGAGGAATGTTGTCCATGGGATTGAGATGGGTCGGACATGACTTCTCAACTAACAACAACATAATTACAGGTAGTCCTCAACTTATGACCACAATTGATCCTACTTTTACCCCATTTTATGACCTTTGCCACCACAGTTAAGTGAATCACTTTACAACCAGGTTATTAAGCCTGGTTGTAAAGCGAACCTGCCCTCTCCATTGACTTTGCTTGTCGGAAGGTTTCAAACGGGGATCACATGACCTTGGGACACTGGCATTGTCATAAAGATGAACCAGTTGCCAAGCTTCTGAATTTTTGATCACATGATCATGGGGATGCTGTAAAGGTCGTAACTGAAAAACTGTCATAAGCCACTTTTTTCAGTGCTGTTATAGCTTTGGATGGTCACTAAATGAACCACTGTAAGTCCAGGACAATCGGTACTTTCTGGGTAATGATCATCGGAGCAGATTGGATTAAATATATAACAAAGTTTAATGTTTCAAGATAAATTTTGCATATTTTAACAGGTATTTAAATTTGACATGAAACTTGCTAACAGCTACAACTATGTAAAAAATGGTTATGAAAGACTGACCTAAGGAGGAAAATGAAGAATACTCTTTATGTTCCATCATTTCAGGGCATTTGTAAGAAAAGATTTGTTACATAAAATATTCCAAACTTTTATTAGAATAACATTGTTATTGTGAACTGTCCATTGATGTACTGTGTCTTTGAAATGCAAAGTACTTGAAGTGTTAATTATTAATTCTTCCTATTTCTAATATATAGATAATTAGATATGAGTTAGCCACAGTTTTCTGACTTAGCTAACGGATACTTGCTCTTTAAATATTTAGGTAAAAAATGAAACAGGTTTAGCCTCTGTTCGGTATTCTCTAACTGCTCATTTCCAAGCTTGGCCAAAAGTAGTAAACATGCAAATGCAAAACAAAACAATCTGATTAATACATTACTAAAAATATGGATTCATTTATTTGCAAATTTAAATTAAGCCAGAGACGCTGAAAAAATATAGTACATAATTTAATTGTCTAATAAAAGCTACACCCGAAAAGACAGAGTGTAAAATTAAAATAACCAGCTTGAACATCAATGATAAACATTGAAAGATACTGCAGAGCAATTTCCAGTAGGCTACAAGCTCATTAGTTGAAAAAAACACATGCTCATTTGCTTTAATATATTGATGTAATTAGCAAGAAAGCAGGTTTCACAATGTATGAAGAGCATAAGATAATCAAGTTGGAAAATTACTTTTCCCAAATCCTGTACAGCGGCTGCTATTTAACTGAGTTTGAACTGAATTAACCTACGTACTTGGATCTTTTAATAGCCTTTTCAATTTCTATGTAGCAGGGGTGAAATCCACTTATCTTTGCTACCAGTTTGGTAGCAATGTGAGTGTGCTTGCTTGCTTCGCTTGCACCACCTATCCACATGTGCAGGACCTTCCGTGCATGCGCAGAGCATGGAAGCAAACTGGTAATGAATGCAGCTTGTGCTACAGCAGTTACACATGCCACCCTACAGGCCCTCAGAACTGTTCGTGTTGCTGTCTTCTGCATCAGCTGTAGTTTCTAAATACTCCTCAAAGGTAGCCCCATGTACAGAGCATTGCAGTAATCCAACTGAGAGATGACTAGGGTATGACTGACTGTGGCCTCGTGATCCAGATCAAGGGGCAACTGGTGCACAACTCAGAGTTGTGTAGAGGCTCTCCTAGACAACGTCTGTCACCTGCTGTTTGAGCACAGGGTTGCGATTCCAGGAGAAACTCCCAGGTTGCGCACCAGATCTGTCTGGAGTAGTATAACCACATACAGAACTAAAAATGATAGATAATCAGATCCTGAGGTCGCCTTCCCTCGCAGCCACTCTGTCTTGACAAGGTTCAGTGAAGCCTGTTGTCCTCCATCCAGGTCCCTAAGGTCTCCAGGCAGCCACAGCATCACTTGGGAGCACCAGGAAGACTGTAGAAATGTAAAACTATATACTATTTACATTAGGGGTGTTAAACTCAAGGCCCGCGGACCGGATCCGGCCCATGGGGTGCTTAGATTTGGCCCAAGGGCTCACCCTGGAAACAGTGAAGGCTTGGCCCACTGTGCCTCTGCCAACGAAAACAGAGCTCGGGGAGACTGTATGCGGCCGTTGCGGAGGTAGCAAAGCCTCGATGACTGATGTCGAGCTGGCCACGCCCACCCTGGCCACATATCCCAGTACTCTCTCTCTCCCCCCCCCCCTTAGTCTTAGAAAAGACTAAGGAAAGATTTTAAGGCTGGACAACGTGACTCACTGGCCTACTCTGCCTATGAAATAGGGACAGTTCATAAAAGGGGGAAGTTATTTTATAAAAAGACCTGAAAATCAAGCAACCGATATCAGTCTATAGTTGAATAGACTTGAATTCAGTTAACAACTCTAGCCATATTAGCTCAACATAGGCATCCTAGCATAGGAAATTGCATAAATAAGCTGTCCAACTGATCAGTTACCAATTCTGACAAAGTGTTTCGGATACTATAGTTCAGGAAAAAAAGCAAAGTGACATCGGGTACAAAAGAGAGAAGGGGGCAAGGCCATAAGGTAAGTAGAGCTTTTCTTCCTTGCTGGTAATAAAGAGAAATGCAGATAATACTATAAAATTAAATAACAGAGGTGACAGAAAACACTTCTCTGTATAAGGCAAAACTGGCTGACAAAATTCATTGCTACAAATTGTGACCATAGTTACAAAAGTGAATACTTGTATAAAAAGAGACTGGCAATTCTTGCTGATTTGCCTTACAACTGCTAAATTCACAGATATTCTGCTATCAGCCACAGTGGAGAAAATGGTGCTGGACTAGACATTTTTTTCATGTCACCTACAGTTTTTCCCCCCCTGTTTTAATACTTCTTACTTTCAGAGCAGCTTTCAGAATATTTGGCGAATTCTCCTGATCTTCTTTGGCTATGCCTGTATTCTTAAGAGGCAGTTTGTATCACCATAGCACACTGCTATTTAGCTTAGGTTGAACGCTGCACAATCCAACAAACAGCCATTAAACTTATATACAGTACTACTAAAACTCTTGCGTCTGTTCGATAATTGGCAGCTTTCAATTGGGTAAAACGGTGCATCATAGAGCAACAAGTGTTGAATCAATGTACTTTAAATGGACCAATTTACAGAGTGCATCCAAAATCTGGGAGCCATGACTCCCGTAGGATTGAAATTTGACAATGTTTTAATGCCATACTTCCCTGACTATACTTTCCAGGAAACTATAGGTTGCATAGCAGAAGGAAAGATGGGAGGGGCACATACCTACCCTATTTCCAGTCTTCCTCTAGCCCCTATGCCCAATTGGCTGGTAGCAAGACCTGACAGACAAGTGACCATTGGCAGCTTTGAAATCATGGTCAACATTTTAAAACTCTTAATGGTAGTGGCTAGTAAGGGAAGAATGAGGGAGTAACTTGGATGCCTGCTGGTGAGAGATAGGGTTCGTTGAGATGAGCCTTCTTCCTCTCTGGAGAGGGATCCTTTGGGGACATGCCAGAATGAGAAGGAGGATGCAGTTTTCCTTGAAGTCCGTGACTCCCATAGTTCTCCCTCTTCACAACAAAGTGGCTGGCAGTTCCACATGTCAGCTGAGGGCAGGAGGAGGGGTTCTTCTGAGGATTGTGAACGGAAGGGAAAGTGCAAGCCTGTATTATATTTGGAAACAGAAAGGGCAAGTGCCAGGGATAGTTGAGCCCCCTTCCTCTCTTTGTTCTCCTTCCCTCTAGTAAAGTTACAGACAGTTGTGAATCAGCTGAGGAAGAGGAGGGAGGTGCTTCACCAGGGCTCTCAAAGGTCACAAGGGGAGGGGAAATAATGAGGGTCTATATTACATACTGCAAGAAGAATGACCTCATCAGTCATGGGTTGTCTCGCTGTTTGAAAAAGAGAAGCAATTCTCCCTTCCTTCTCCCAAGGGACCTTAGCTAGAGTTTTTCTGGATATCCTGGAAAAGCAACTGCTGCTGAAGACTTTTGAGACTACTTAAGACATCTGCAGTGAGATGCCCAGCAGACCAACATCCTTCCTGTTCTTGGTTCTCTTCTTCCTCCGGTTCAACGGGGCTATCAGAAGGCAAAGAAGAACATCTGGAGATATAACCCTGGTCTGACTGTACCGACTGTCTCTGAACTTTGGAAGCCTCATCAAGCAACTGCTGTTGCTGCTCATGAACATCTTCTTGGCAAAGGGGCATATCAGAGGGGATGACACTTTGTTGATAGAGGGAATACATCAATCCCGCCAGTTGTTGCCTCACCTCATCTGGCAAGGCCTGGGGATCTGAGGATAAATCCTCTTGAAGAATGACATTATTTCTTCTTGGGACGCTACCTTCTATCATAGGCACACTTTCTAGCCAATCCTCATTGGTCAACACTTTATGACTGAGTATCTCATTTTCTTCTGCGAGGGCAGCTGGCCTGACCACCTGAACAGAAGGTGTCTCAGCAGGAGTGACCAGAGTCTGGAATGATAGATCTTCTCGTGACAGATGCTGAGGTGTCAGTTTATATGCTCCCAAGTCATCTTCATTAACCAGAAGATTGACTAAGCAACAGCTATTGGGGTCAGGTTCCTTTGGAAGCAGTTGCTTCTTAAGAATCCCTTTTCCGGGGAATATTAATTCTTCAGGGAGTTCCTCAATCAGAGGTTGTAGATCATCTTCATCCTCATCGCAGACACATTCGCTTTTGAACCAATCTGGATGCTCATCCTGCCATGTCTGGAATTTCTGCAAGGCCTCCTTCAGCTGTTTGCCACAGGGGCTTTCAGTGTATTTTTCAGGTGAGATGGCCGGAATCTGATGCATTCGCCCCGGCTCAAATTTTTCAAGATCCTGGATTAGGAAGTAAATTTCCTCAAACTTATCCATCAGCTGATATTTGGAGGTGACGTGGAATGGGTCTGGAATGTCACTCTCATGGCTTATGCCCTCAAAGTAGCAGATTAAATACAGTCCAAAGCAAGATGGCTGCTTGAAGTCTGGTAAAATCAGATTCAGTGCTGGAGTGAACAGATCCCCTGTTGGCAGCATATTATCTTGCTTCAGGTGTACATTGGGTTCCCTGTGCCCAAGCATAGCCTGCCACTTGGCTCGAGTACCCCGGGAACACAAGACGATGATCTTTGAAGAAAGCGCTTCCATTTTCTGTTTCTGCCGAGTAAGCCAGCACACGGCTCCCATCTCGGAGATCTGGTGTTCATCTAGCAGGTCTAGGATGACCTCCGTACCACACACGGTGATCATGAACTGAGCAAACTTCAACACAACGTCTACATAGAGCTTGTGATCAGCAGAATACACAATCCAAACTGTACGTGGCTTGAGGGGTGGAGGAGGTTGCAACATAGGGGTGACATCTGGAAAGTCAAAAAAGTTAAAATATATAAAAAGGGGTAATATTATGGTTACTGCTCCCCCACCTCCCCATACATGGAAAAACAAAGAGTACAAGAAATAGGATTGTTTCATGTGTACATTACTGCACTTAATATTAAAACAATGTTCAAGATTATTAGCTTCAGTTTAGCCAACTAAACTTTTATCTCCAATACCAGTGATGTAGATGGAAGATATTTTATTTCAGAAAATTGCAATCCTTGATGTAGAAATTTATTTCTCCTGAAAAACAAGCTGTGTCAGAAAGTAGTAGTCCTTGACATTAATGTCAACATTGCCCAGCCGATATTCAACTACAGAAACAGATGAACAGTTAACTTTGTAAGAATTGGCTTTGTCTGCGTTTGCGTTCATGTAACTGAAAGCACACACAAAACTTTTAAGAAAATACAAAGTCAATACTGTCACCTCTGAATCTAATCCTTGTACATAGCTTATAAATCAATGCTGAGTCATAAAAAGTAAAAGTTTGCTTACCCTGGAGTTCATAATCACCGTTTTTTGCTGCAGAATTTAATTCTAGGAGGGAAAGAAGAACACAGAAAACGTTAAAGAATGTAACTCTGATCATAAAAGTTCAGATACTTTTGAAAAAGAAAGGATAACAATTCAATGACCTTCATCTGACACTCAAGTGCAAGCAAAGAAAAGCAGAAATTCTTGAATAAGAATTTAAGTTTTCCTTGACACAACTGGGGGAACATAAATAAAATGCTGAAAAAATGGTGTCAGATTGACCATGAAATTAAGATGATTGGCTATAATTAACAATAGGTAGACTAAAACATTAAAACTGAATAACTTTTTATCAGTAGGCTATCTAAAACTTCCCCAAAAGAGCTGAAATTGAGTTTGAATTTAAGTTAACACAGGTGTAACGGAGCTGCTAGTGTAACAGAGCTGCTAATTTCCTCTTTCCTCTTCTTCCTTGGCAGTTTTCCCAGCGTCTATCCTGTTCCTCCCCTGTGGAATAGTATGGGTTAACAGATGGGGAAGTGAAGAAGGGTATACCTGAAAATTAAGCGGAAAATTAAATCTCTGACCTGATTTTTTCAGAGGTTAGCCTCTTCCCAGCCTACAGTGCTCTACAAGATTCACCTTATCTATCAAACATTGAGGATTTTTGGGGGGAAGCTTCCAGAGTGAGAAAATTAATGTCTGCTGCCCCACTGCACAAATTTGGTCCAACCCTACACCATTCCAAGAAAGTTATTCTGAAGACAAAACACCCCCCATTTGTAGAACCCACCTTTTTGTCTTCGAGTAATGCATATTGCGGAACCAATAGCTGAACCAATTAACAAAATGCAGATGATAGTGTGGATCCAAGGTAGCCCCACTGAAAATGTATCTGAAAAATAATAATCGTAATAAAAATGAGAGGGAGAATCATCAAACCAAATATTACTATGAAGAATGCCTTGATGCATAGGAAAGGCCACATTTTTAACAATAATTGTGCGTAAGTGTGGTCAGGCATCACACAATCTGTTACTGTATCCACCAAAACATTAACTTTCAAAAGAAAGTTCCTTTTGACAGGGCTAAAGTAGGACAAGTTTATGCAAAAATATTTTTTTTCTTGATTCTGCTCAGGGCACTCAACCCCAAGTCGACATTTTGTGGTAGAAAAGCAACAACAGAATCTCCAGTTCTTAAGCTCCTAATCTCTACAAAAATTGACTCTTTTCTAACTACATCAGAGCACTTTAAGAGTATATATGCACCATTCACTCCGGATTGATCAGGAAGAATTAAGGCATCATCAGAAGAACACGGGATTAAAAATAGTTGCCTCATACAGTCTGTACCACAGGCAGGAAAGAATGGTTGGATCTGGTGAAAAAAGAAAAGAGAGGATAATTATAGCAACTAGTTCACTGCACAATCAGCCACTTGATTTAAAAAGTTTTTTAAAAAAGCTTATGTAGGACTATTTTCTCTTGGCTACTGTCAGGGTTCCAAGTAACACTCCCAATGAAAGAAGACTCCGAGGCTTGAGTGTCCTCAAAGTTCCATTTTATTAGAGATGTCATATTGGCACATCTGGGAAAACCTGAATCTGAAAGTTTCCAGGTTTTCCCCACCCAGCTGAAAGTTCAAATCCCTGCCCAGCACCCACATGTCCATCATATGGTCCAATCAGGCACTGTTCCAAAACTGGAGATGCCTCCCAGTCATGCCACTCCAGGTGCAGGGCAAGACGCCCTCAACTCTCTGGCAAAGGAATGTTAATTTCATTATATCTACCCCACTCCATATAATCCTCCTTCCCAGTTTCCCACAGCAATAAATGTGGCAGGCCTTAAGGCCCAATGCAAAAGTTGGCTTCCAGGCCTGACAGCTACATTATATAAATAAAATGTAATATATTATACATTATTAGACAATACAATGTATAATGATATATTAATATAATGTAATTGTATCACTATGCAGTATAATGCACTGTATTATTATATACTATAATATTCTATTAATATAGTCTATTAATATATTGCATAACAATATAAGTAAACTTTTATTTTTTATTTTTTTTATGTACTCTCAGTGTACATAAAAAGTCAAGATACATTCGTCAAGAATCATAAGATACAGCACTTAATGATAGCCATAGGGTACAAATAAGCAGTCCGGAAACAATCAATATCAATCTAAATCGTAAGGATACAAGCAGCAAAGTCACAGTCCTGCAATCATAAGTGGGAGAAGATGGGTGATAGGAACAATGAGAAAATTAATAGTAATAGTGATGAAGCCTTAGTGAATGGTTTGACAGTGGTGAGGGAATTATTTGTTTAGCAGAGTGATGGCGTTCGGGAAAAAACTGTTTTTGTGTCAAGTTGTCTTGGTGTGCAGTGCTCTATAGCATCGTTTTGAAGGTAGGAGTTGAAACAATTTATGTCCAGGATGTGAGGGGTCTGTAGATATTTTCATGGCCCTCTTTTTGACTCAGGCAGTGTACAGGTCCTCAATGGAAGGGAGGTTGGCAGTAATTGTTTTTTTCTGCAGTTCTGATTACTATTTGGATGGGAGGTTATTAGGAAATCCCAATACTGGAGATAAAAATTGGGTACTCAAAAAAAAATAATCACAGAAGAAAGCAAATCTATTTTTTTGAAACTGTTGTTTCAATGGATGTGTCGATTTGGTTACCAGGAGCTGAGCTTGACCTCTGGAGAACATCCTTATTTCTAGTTTTCTCCCCCCCACTGCCAAGGTAGTCCTTGACTTATGAACACAACTGAGCCTAAAATTTCTGTTGTTAAACAACATGGTTGTTAAGTGAGTTTGGCCCCATTTTGCGATCTTGCCATAGTTCTTATGTGAATCATGCAGTCATTAAGCAAATCTGGCTTTTCCTTATTGACTTTGCTTGTTGGAAGCCAGCTGGGAAGATTACAAATGATGGAACACATGGCCCCCGGGCAGGGCAACCATCATAAACATATGCCAGTTGCCAAGTACCCAAATTGTAATCATGTGACCATGCAGATGCTACAATGGTCGTCAATGTGGAAAATGGTCATTAAGACTTCTTTCAACTTCGAATGGTCACTAAATAAATATTTGAAAATCACCTGTAACCGAATGTGACTATTAACATGGAAGAAACCTACCTGCACTTTGTATTTGCAACAAATCTTCAGGTTCCTTTCCAGCTTGACTGTTACATTAAGGCGTTGCTGCAGACCCTCCTGCAGAAATCAAGAGGCACAACTGAGACAGGACCAACAAGCACAGTGGGATCAATCTAAATATATTGTACCTTTGGGGTAACTCTTGTGGCCCAGCAGGAGTCGTTGGAGCTGCAAACAGACTCCGATAGGGTTCCACCACAAAACCGCGTTCGACTAAACCACGCTCGACGAAACCGCGTAGCTGACGTCATCAACAGGGCGACAACAGCGCGGAGACAGCACGCTGTAAACGCTAAACCTAAAATTAACCCCTAAACCTAACCCCCCTAAACCTAAATCTAATCCTAAACCTAACCCTAAATCTAACCCTTAACCTAACCCTAAACTTAACCCTTAACCTAACCCTAACCCTTAACCTAACCCTAAACTT